AGAACAAATTAGAAACTTATAGAAACCAACAACTATTTAAGGACCCTGAAAAGGACTCTGACTCTGACAGAAAAAGTTACCTACTGAAAAAATAAAAAGAACCCTGAAAAAGAAACAATATCAAGAACCTGATCTATTAATGACTCCTAGAAAAGAACTGAACCTGTCAATTGCACTAATTGCAATTATCCTAGGCTACCTAGTCATGATTGCCTATACAACCCAGGCAATCCTAATGCACTTAAATGATTTATGAAGAATCAGAGAACAAAAGAAACAATCAGCCCTGAAATGAGCCTTGAAGAAAAATTTAGAATTTGGGATAACACTCCAAGAGAAGAGTGCCTCTTCTGCGAAAAAATATCCATACTCAACCAACACAACTGCCTAAAGAAAAATGAAAGGAAATTTAACAAAGATTTCTTGCTATACCTATATCGAAAAACAACTTGTGGAATCTGTTTTAAAACAGGACATCATAATTCATATTGCCCAATTGTAACTTGCAAAATTTGTAAAGAAAAAGGACATATCTCTAAGAACTATTCAAACAAATCTACTACTACTGAAGAAATAAAAAACTATTGGAAACAAAAAGAACCAGAAAACAACCACCCTTATCACCAAGGATCAAGGAAGGATAGCAATTTACTTGTAAGCATTGCTTCCAAGAATATCACCAAGAGTGCCCATACTATAACCTTCTTGAAGCACAACGTATCCAAACATGTGGATGCAACCAGAAAAAAGTAATGAACGAAAGAATCTATCAATGGGAAACACTTGGAAATAAATCACACCAAGAAGTATACAATTCACCAATATATCATTGTTGTAACTGCCAAAGACCAGTTAGAAAAAATGATCACTTCATATTAAATAACTTTGAAGTAATTAATCCTGACAATGTAAAGAAATATTATGATGAAATATTACTTTGCAAAACATGCTACCATACATACCCAATTTGAAGAACTTGAAATCGATGAACTGAAAGCAGAAGAATATTATAAAAAAGAAGAAATTAATAAATTAACTGAATGCAACTTTTGTTGCAAACCAATTAGAAAAAGACAAGGTTATCAACTCTGAAACACAGGACAATATATGTGTTGTCTAGAAGAAATGATAGCATTTATTGTCTATGCAGAAATAATTAACAGACCAACATACCGCACTCACCAACAAATCTACCATAGAACAAGATATGGTATACACGCTAGCAAAAGTATTAATGAATCAAAAATCTATAGGCTAATTGCCTTAATCAAAGAAGAAGAAACTTTACTTGATAAGGAAGAAATTCCTAAACAATATAATCATAAAACAATACTTTTACAAGAAAAAGAAAACAACGCTATACATGACTAGTATATAACTCATTATAAATGATCAGAAATAATTATATCATCCTACGATAAACTGGATGACCAATTCAATGACTCAGATAAATCAATCACTAATCAAGATATAATCATGGAACCAGAAAAAATTAACAATACCGAAGAACAAGACCAAGTCATAGCTGATATTGCTACTCAGAATCTAGACTATGATTACAAACCCAAAGAATTAGATGCAAAAACTGAAAAGAGAAAACAGCTCAATACAAAATATACGATGAACCACAACTAGATATCAAAGAAAAAGAACTTTGCACAGAATGCAAATATCTCTACAATGAAAAGAATTATTAAATAGATATTGCAAAGAATGCTATAAAGAAGCTACTAAATGTATTGGTTGTAAACAACCAACTCCTGTTGAAATATTGAAAAATGCAAAATGTACTATTTGTTTCCAAAAAGAAGTAGAAAACCAAAGAAAAAAAGAAAAAGATCAAATTTATGAAATCAAAAAAGAAGAATTTATATCGAATAAAAAATTCAAAGTAACAGTCAAAACTGAAGAATTCAACTTCGACAAAATTGAAAGAACTGAAATAGAACAAATGAAACAAGAAATCACAAACCTGAAAAAACTAGCTATAGAACAAAGCGAGAATATAAAATACCTCACTGAAGAATAAAAATTCACCAAGAAATAAATAATACACTTCACCTTCACAATATTGAATTAAAAAGAAAAATTGAAGAACACTGAGAACACAATTACCTAACAAGACTTAGACAAATAACAACTTGGAGAAACCAAGCTGTAGCAGAATTTGTAATATTAGAACAAGAATATTCTGAAAAAAAATTTGATAAATTACACAAAGAATATCTTAGTAACCTTAGAAATAATTCATCCTAAAAAATATAAAATAAAAAATACCTCTGAAAAACAAAATAGTAAACAAAGTGCCAAGGCACCAAAATACGCTATAAACCATTTAATAATTTATTTACCCTTACCATTAAAACTTGTA